GTCCTGAAACTGCAGTTTCCTATGCTCCCCTTCAGCTCCTATGGTAAGTCATACCGTGAGTCATACCCATCTGTCTTGAACTTTGGGATCCGACACGCCGAGCAGAGTTGGCGCCTTAGCGGCCAAACTGATGCTTTGATGAGAGCCCTTTGCATCCCTTCAGCGGCCAAAGTCAACCCCTCAGCGCAGCTGGTCGGCATCAGTACGGCTGGTAGCGGTCCTCGGACGATGGGGGGAATCTCTTTGTTGGGAAATACACAAAAATAGGCATTCATGCTTGTTGTCTTCTGGTATGAACAAGCTATAAGTACTCATATCTTCTCACTTGATATCGGCCCATGAAGTCCAACTGTCTGGAGCAGGAGGATCTTCCATAAGGGTCCTGTGCTTTTTTGTTCGATTCAGCCCACAAGCATCCATGAGATAACGTTCGAAGCTCTTGTGAGGTAACTGAAACCGTTGCCAACTACAAGGTTTTTGATTGGATCTCAACAAACGTGCGGCCAATACAAACCTGATGGCTAGAACCCCAAAATCAGGTTGCTGCATATCTCAAGAGTGCCAAAGCACAAATGTGTATAACAGTATATATGTGTGCAATACACAAGCATTCGCATAAAAACATGGTGCATGCAACATATGCAACGTGACACATACGTCACGTTCCCTCACACGTGACCGAGATTCTCCACCTTTGCCCTGCTGGGCCATGGCTGCATACCAACCCATCGTCGCCATATTGGCCATGTACCTCTCAAGACGCTGCTGGATGATCACGTTCCAAATGTGATCTGAAAACCCAGCCCGTCTGAAAAACGTGAAACGGAATTCTCAACCGTCCAAACCGACGGGGATTTTCACACCACAGCAACATACATGCATGTACATAATGGGTCGTTTGAGAAGTTGAACAGCATTCAAACCTCAACGCAACGGATCCAACACTACCTTAGCTTCCCAAAAGAACCAGCACAAACCGGATCGCACAAATTGAACAAAATACTGTAAAATACTGTACATCAAGATCATCATGCATTGAATATCATTGAATATCATTGAATGTCACAATTTGGAGTAGAGTGTCACGCTTTTTCTTCTGTATAACACAGGCCGGGGCAGGAAGAACCCGGTTGGTTCAGCTGAATCGAATGCCAAAACCAGATCGTTATTTAAAGCGTCCTAATATTAGCACAGGGAAATTGATAAATCAAGAATCAAAACCCTATATTCGGAGAGCTACTACTTACTACTTGAAGTGAGCACCTACGGTGTGAAATCCATTTACCTGACAGTAGGGAGCAGTCTTCAAAATCTACGTTTCTGTTCAAAGTTCAGTCAGCTAAACGTGTTCTACTCGGCGCGGCACCAGCTCCAATCATCCTTGCCACCACCTTTTCCACCACCGCGGAAGGTTGGATCCTGGTCAACACGGCCACATCCGTATGCAGCAAACATCCATAAAAGTAACCATTTTGATGGGAGTTTCTTCCTCATTTGCACCGATCACAAACAGCATAGCCCAAAAGTAGTTGCCTAGCTCACAGTCCCAGGCACTCCTGAGAAAAAGAAGGCATAGCTACATGGACTTGCAGTCTTTCCTGTCTCCAACACACATCGACATATTATGCCCGTTTGCGTGTGTGGGGCCAAAGATGATGTCTACAAAAATGCTGCGGATGTATGAACTCATGTTGCAACACACGTTGATAAAGAGGGTGTTAAATCCAATACATTGGTTGGCGATGAAACCATGTGCACCCAACTCACGCGGTGGCTGCTTTTCAATAAACTCGTGCACAGGCATAGACGTTTTGGACACGTAGTCTTTGGCTGCGTGTACATGTGTCCACTTGATGTCACTACCTTCTAATCATGGGCTCTTCCAACAAACACCAAAAGAAACATTAAGGGACAGAAAGCAATCAACAGCATGACAAACCCATAAAGTGACTGCTGCAGCTGCAAGGATGCGGGAACTCAACCTGCGCTTCGACAGCCCTCAACCCTTGAGTCAAAGGCCAGAGTCTGGACATTCCGTTGCTTCAGCCCTGTGCAACCAACTCTTCAACATGAACTCCAACATCATCTCCTCCATCACACTGTCCCCTGGGGGTATGTTTGAAACATGCAAACTAAGACTATAAAGGGTACTGTACAAGTGATATGAACAGTATATACAGTATCACAAGTGCCGTGGGGTGAAACCAGGGACAGCGCTAGTCATGTCCAACGTACTTTTTTTCAACCAGTCCAAGTTTTTTTAGCGGCATGAACCCGGGAAAAAGCAGTGACCGTGAAGCGACCGCGCTTCTGCGCAACGGTACAGTTGGAGCACGATGGGATCTGATAATTTATGTTTGACCATTTGTGGGCTGCATCGGGCAACACAACGGCAATATGTTTTGAGTCGGACACGCACACATGATTTGTTAAAAAAATGATATAAAAGTAATTATCATGTATTATCTGTATATGTGGTTCAATGTTAGAAAACCCTGGAGAAACGTCACAGTTCAAAGGCAAACCCCTCATCAGCCCGATGCGTCCTGCGTAGGACGCGCGTTTGCCTTTCCGGCATCTGCCGCAGATGAGGGGAAGATCTGAGCACAAGTGCCGGTGGTGCAGAAAATGCTGACCATGTGAGTGCGGGTGTTTTTCCGAAACGATCATAGAGGCAATCTGTGGGGATCCAAATGGGTTGACTGTGGGGATCCAAATGGGGATCCTACAACCAAGACCACATAGGATCAAACCGCCCGTAGGGTGGAGGCCATTGCTATTAGGTTGGACTCCACTTGTTTCTGCCTGGAGACCTTCGTTTCTTGAAGCCAAGTCCTGGAGACCTGTCGATCAGCACGCTTCTGCCTGTGATATCCAAGGCATAGGGACAAAATGGGACAAAGGGCGTCACAGATCCGGCGTCTCCATCCATGCAATTTGACTGTTGTGGACTGTGGACTGGGAAACAGCCTGGTTTGGGCTGGAGTTTCCTCATTTTGAGAAACATGTTCAAATGTTCAAACTAGCAATCACAAGTGCTGATCAATTGGAACAAAAAAACAGAGAAGCAGGACCAGCAGGACTTGCCACCTGGACACCAGCCTGATGTGTTCTGGACGCAAACCAGTCTATTTCTGGTACACTTTCTGATGACCACTGGAAAATGAACGCCCATTGTGCTGGCGCCTACTTCAACACAAACACTGACATACACACACAAAGGCAGTCTAGCTTCGGAAGCATATCTTTCTTGAGATGCACGGACCATTAAAGGCCCACTGTGTACCCCAGCCAAGCTTTGTTTGCCAACAAGCGCATGACAACGATAGTATGGCATTATCGCGGGTGACCCACCATGGGGACCTCATGGGAACACGAAACAAAAACACATAGCTGTTCAAAGCCATTCAGATTCGGTGTCTGTTCAAATCTGGATTACAATGAACGACAAGATCTTTACAACCACGGACTTCTAGCCTCTGAGACTGATGGAGTACGCATATGTATACTGTATACATCTGTATACTGTATATTGATATCTTGGCATGCCGTGCCGTATAGCTTTTGTTGGGTGATATCTTAGCTCGCCCAAAAGCGCATGGCCAACCTGCTGCCCCACCGGCACCTCAATATAACGAGTGCCAATCTTTTGACGATCCTCAGGAACGCACGCGACTCGCGGAGTCGAGGACGAGAGGAAGACGCGTGTCTTTTTCGGAACTGAGCCTTCCCATCGACCATGGACAAAGGGGGTTGAGACCGTGATACCTTGACAAACAAAGGACTCATGGACTTGTTGGAAGATGCTCAGAGGACTTTGGGGGAAGAAGAATCTCGGCCTGCGCGGCGTCGGGGTCAATGTGAATCGATCTGCTGGTCGCTTGTGGTTATAAGATCAATCATCAATCATGCACACTGCGATCCGCAGTCGTAGGTCAGACCCAATATCTGAAGTTCCAACAACTGTTTCAGACAGGCTCATCCGCTGCTTGGGGCATCATCTTTGGTTCATGGCGAACTCGAGTCATCTACTGAAGATCGGAACCAGGAGTAGCAAGGGCCACTTCACCTCGTGCAACCTGTATTCTACAAGCTGATCTTGAACAAACTGGTTGAACCACCAATCCCCCAAGATGTGACCACAAGCCGAGAGGTCGTGCTACTGGTGTTCCACCCACCCAACGTCATCAACTCGTCTGCCTTCGCTGTCTTGGCTTGCGCAGCCAAAGCCTTCCACCGACGGCTGGGGGGTCCCACGTCCGGCTCCACCGAGGACGTGCGCGTCCACGGCGAGTGTCTCTCTCTCGAGAGACTGAGAGAGAACAGCCCTGATGAATTCTACTTCGAGACACGGAGAAAACGGAACAAAGCCAAGCATTTGCGGGGAACGACGAAAAAACGTGCAAATCAAGAACCAAACAACCCTGTGAAATTCGGTTGGACATTCGCCGTTAGCCGCCGTTAGCCTCATCCTGTTGTTTCTTTCATTTTGCCGTTAGCCATTTGGCGCTTCCCGGCGAAGTCCGACAAACTTGACACGGTCTCGGGCCGCGGAGCCCGGTGTCGCGCGGTGAGCCCGGTCTTGCGCGGCATGGCTGAGCAGTGAATCTGCAGTAGGGTGCAGTAAGGGACCAGTAGGGTCTCCTTATGGGTGCACTGTTCGGTTCACTGAGGTTCACGGACTTCATGGTTTCAAGTGAAGTGGGTTTGACCAACATGTAACATGAGTGACCCATGGTTTCGTGCAATCCGTCGCCACAAAAAAAAACCCTCCGGTCTCCGCCACTTCCACCAAAAAACGATATCGGAAGTTCAGAACTCTCCGTTGGAATCCGAAGCATCGTCGTTTCCGGGTGCGCCCCTTTGTTCCTCGGAGAAAAAGACCCGGCCCTGAACTCATCCGGACCGGCGAGGCATTTCGGGGAGAGGAAGACCCGGAGATCCCCCCAAAGGCATCGCTACTAAACTATAGGAATAGGGGCATTACTAGTAGCAAGAAGCTAGTCAAAAGGGTGTTGGTAAAAAATCCCACCAGGGCCCAAGTGGAAAGGAGAAGACCCCGGCACCTCTGATGGAAATTGCACCCAGGCTTCCCCCGAGGGCCGCCCCGTCGCCCCTGAGCGAATGGGTGAATACAGCATGGGCATGGGAAAGGAGGGGTGAAAGAATGAGAGGGTTTTTGGAGAGATCCAAACACTCCCTTAGAATGTGATCAGGTGGTTTCAATCTGTCATTTCAAAGTAAAACATGGAACAGGGTTCAAACCATCGGTCAGATATTTGATGGATCCCGCTGGAGAAACCAGCTGAATCCCTCCAACATCTATGCCAATCTATGTCCTGGAAGCATTTTTCAGAGTTCCCTCTCAAGTCCTGGTCTTTCTTCCGAGCCGAGAAAACCAATATACCTCTGTCAAGCTCTCTCGGTGGAACTGATTGCTCCAAAACCGAACAACGGGATGCAGGACACATCGCTCCACAAAGAATCTGAGGGAGTCCAGTCCAGTGGCTCAAAACACGGCTCGGTCGACTCCTCTGCACTCCCTCAGATATGTAACGCTGCTCAGTTTTCCAGGATTGTGAGGAAAAACGTGATGAGGTGACGACCCCGGAATTCACAGAGCTGCTCTGACCCACGGCGGTCCTGTTCGTCCCTGCAGCTGAGGTCTGGTAGGAACGGTTTAGTTTTCGAGCGAACAGCGAAGTGGTAGAAGAAACTCCCTGGTCGCAAAGAAGCGACGCTCATCCTTCTAAGCTCTGAGTTCGGCTGGTTTTAACCTATATTCAAGCGATATTCAAGCAACCTGGAAACAAATCATCGGATCTATATATAATTTCTTGATTTATGGAAGGTAGTTGAAACATGTTGAAACCATGCAATAGTTTCCTCTCAGCTTCCGTCGAGATCATGAAATCGGAGCGGGTATGATCAGCGTATGGGTCACGAAGTTCGGTCGTCATGGCAGAGGTATGGTTGACCAGTCGTCGCCCTGGGAGGGCAGATTTCAAGATTGACCTCCCGCAAAGATTCTGAACTGTCACAAGGCTGCTTCAAAAAGAAACCGGAACTAGTTCTCACCTCACAATCATGGTCAAAAACATGTCAACGCTTCAATGAAATTCAATCACACAGAATAAGGACACATCCCAAAAGTGCTACACTTGCATACTGTCTCCGGTCTACCCCGACCATGTATGCATTGAATTTCAAAAAGTGGATCCAACCTCTTCGTTCGGTGTACGACGTGATCGAACTCCTCGCCTTCAGATCCCAGGATGACTTGATCCTCTGACACCTGGGCCACCGGGCTTTCACGGGATGAATTTTGCAAGGTAAAGTGCAAGGGGTGCCGGTGTCAAGAGGGTGCCAGTGTCGGACACGCCAAGGCCAGAGGTCTTTTGGCGGGGGGTTCTTGAGAGGTTTGTTTTGACCTTAAAGAGTTGACACATAACACACCACATGATTTTGTGGATCGAATCAAAGCCCCATCACACTAGCTAATGTTCCTTCAGCAGATTCACTGAAATCATGTCAAGTCAATCAAGTCATGGTTTTAGCTGTCACGTCAATGTATTTGGTGCGATTCCTAAATTGGAGGGTCGGGATGTTTCTCTATGCTTTTGAAGTCTTATCTGCTTATTAGGTTTTGACAACCAGCTCCACCAGCACCAGCACCAGCACGACAATCGCTTTTAGTCCTTATAGGGCCTTCTCATGCCTGCTCCCTTGTGTCAAAACCGATTGAACATTTAGGCTATATACATATGTGTGTCCAAGTGGTGCCCGCCTCCCACAATTATACAGCACTGTAAATAACCCAAATATCAACATATAGTTACTTGTTCAACAAGAAACGCATACATATATATATATGGATGGGCGCGCGTGCTTTTCGGGGACCCGTGAAAAGCATAAGAGATAGTACAACAACGCGCCCATGTGTATATGTGTATATAAGCAGTAGAATTGCACACAAACTGCATGAACATGTTCATTCAAGCCACTGCCTGAGTTGTCTACACTCTACATATTCAATGCTGCATTGACATTGTTGATGACAGACTTAATGATGTGCAAACATCCACCCATGTCCTCCTGAGAATGAACATCTTGCAAACTCTTGAGATGTGTCAAGGCTGCCACCGGGACGACAGGTCCTGAGTCCTCTCTTTCCCGCGGTAATTATCGTAAAGTGCGAACACATGACCAGGACAAGTACTGAACTGCGCTCTCGCGAGCTCAGCATGTGTTTGTGTGGCACTCTGTTTCGCTGGGAACACCGGACTCCATATTCCGCGAAGAAGGTGGCCACATCCGAAGTGGATGCGCTGAATGGAAGCCTCAAACACGACAGGTCGTTGTCGACAGAGTCGCAAGATCAAAGAAGGAAATCCCAGATGGAGTCTGATTCTGATAGATTTTGATGGGTTAATATGTTTTTGCACAGATACAAAAATGCCTTTTGGGGGGGTCAAAAGTGCTGCCAGACTTGCTCCTGTAGGCGTTCATGGGTCTGGGTCTGAGGGAACAGCAATTAATAATTGAGCCAAGCGCCATACCTGCAAAGAGTATAACACATCCAACCGCTCATCCAATTCTCTTACACAAACACGGTTAAGTCTGACCTTGTCTTCGTCCATGACTCACATGCCTTAGGACGAAGAGTGAGAAGGTGAACCAAGGTGAACCTTCGGGCCCACAAGAGATGTTGGCAAAAAGGCATGAGCTGGAATCCATGCAGTTCCATAGTTGAGGGTGGTTTCACAAACCCAGGGATCCAACGGTTTGCTGTAAGTCTATGTCCCTTTTCTCATGGTTTGCTGAACTGTTCTGTGTGCCCTATCGCTAAGCCATTGCACAGTTCTTGATTCTCTTGAGAGGCAGCTGGTTCTCTTCGAGCTCATTTTGGACTCTAACATTCACCAACCTGGCAACTTCAGGCGCCCTGGTATTGGATCGTTAGATCATAATAACATAGTAAATCTTTGGGTCGAGGCTCTTCTCGCCTCGCCTCGTGTCTGTCCGACCGCGGGATCCAAGAGTTCGACCGCGGATCCACGAACTACGCAACCCACGTAGGAAACCTGATAACACCACCGCACCCGATACAACACATTACAAAACAACGTCATCTCTTCTCCTACACTTCTGCAAGGCAAAATCGATGATATTTTTTGTAAGCAAAACAATAAAAGCCCCTCATACGAAGAGATTTGACCATAGAAAGGTTTTGTTGTTCATTGTTTTGAATCAAGATTCTACGTTATTAAGAACCAGGATGTTCATGGTGGTTTAACGTGTTTTATGAATGAACCGCCTATATAATAGAAGCCCTTCAACTCGGCCGACTGGGTGCTTCCCACCCTCTCAGCCGAAGGTAGGCCGAGCCACCACCTCAGTGCAGTCCCAAATGCTCTGATTGAGAGGTTGTATCAGGAGAAACCTAATAGCTATGGCCTCCATTTAATAGCTATGGCCTCCAACCATGATGTGAAGATATGTGAAGTGATACTCTGTATCCCAAACAAAGCAATGAGCTTCCTTCTTTGCCCTTATTGTGCATGGCGGCTTCCTCTGCCTCCCACGGGCAACGCCACCTGGTGTGGTTCGTGCCTAAAACCCAAACCTGTCTTGCAGATGTACAACATAGACTTACAGCACTATGTTGGGAAAAAATAACAACTTTGGAGTTGAGATCTCTAGGTTACCACACGGAATGATACCACTGGGTCTCTTAGGTTGGGCAGCTGCAACGTGTTCGTGTGCAAGGCGCTTTAGCCATGAGCAAACCGTGCCACAACAATTCCAAGGCACCAGCTCATGAACAACACAGTGCCTCGAAAACGTGTCTCAGTGACCTCACTCTTCAAGGCCTCATTCTGGGATCTCAAAAGGTCACTTTGACGGTCCTGGGGATTGATCAGTCTTTCAGCGACACTGAACATAGAGCTTCAGCATTCCATCCGGCCGCTGGTGCCCGGAAAAGAGGGACAATGCCACACATGCCGGAAGACATACTTAGGGGGGTTTTAGGGGATATACATAGGCAAAATAGCAACAAGATGTATCAAAATCAGATCAAACAATGAAAAGAATCCAATGAAAGAAGTTGGCAATTTCTCGCACCTGAAATCCTGCCAAGCAAAAACTGAGTCTTGACCTTGCAAACCTGCTCAAAAGGTTGACCTCCAAGCTCAGCACCAGCAGCGTAGGCATAGGATTCTGTATCCTGAAAGTGCAAGAAAGCCAACATGAAGCTTGTGAGGCCAAATTACTGAGGCTTCGTGACTGAACCGAGAGTTTACTCTGAGATGTTGAAGGTCTATATCATGTGAGGTGGGATTAAGATCTACCTTGACATCGTCAATGTTCTGGCTCTTAGATTGACTTTCAAGCCAAATGAATAATATCACCATCAACCATTGCTTCTGCAACATCCAAGGCAGCAGGTCCCACAAAAGAACATTGGCACTTCGGTCACATAGCCAACATCCGATCAGACCTGTCATCTTAGGAACAAGTGCCACGCTAGTAGTAACAGGTGCCTTACTAGTAGTAACAA